GTCTGGACAGTTAGCCTTGGTGAAGACTTGACGTTTTCATCCCCAAAAAGGTTCTTGAGTTTCTGCTGAAATGAGGCTGCATTTTAATGTTGTATTTTAATCTTGATTTTTAAGTTGTACAGTGGTACCTCGGGTTACATACGCTTCAGGTTACAGACTCCGCTAACCCAGAAATAGTACCTCGGGTTAAGAACTTTGCTTCAGGATGAGAACAGAAATCATGCTCCGGCGGCGCGGCAGCAGCAGGAGACCCCATTAGCTAAAGTGGTGCTTCAGGTTAAGAACAGTTTCAGCTTAAGAAGGGACCTCCGGAACGAATTACCGTATTTTTTGCTCTATAAGACTCACTTTTCCCCTCCTAAAAAGTAAGGGGAAATGTGTGTGCGTCTTATGGAGCGAATGCAGGCTGCGCAGCTATCCCAGAAGCCAGAACAGCAAGAGGGATTGCTGCTTTCGCTGCGCAGTGATCCCTCTTGCTGTTCTGGCTTCGGAGATTCAGAATATTTTTTTTCTTGTTTTCCTCCTCCAAAAACTAGGTGCGTCTTGTCGTCTGGTGCATCTTACAGAGTGAAAAATACGGTAAGTACCTAACCCGAGGTACCACTGTATTTCAATCAATTGTTTTATATCTGGTGTTAGCCGCCCTGAGCCCGGTCTTGGTTGGGGAGGGCGGGGTATAAATAAAATTTTTTATTATTATTATTATTATTATTATTATTATTAAACTGGAAAGGGTAGCTGATGCCACAGAAGACAGAATCAGAATTCAAGGTGACCTTCAAGAGCGACAAATGTCAGAGTCTACACTTAAACAGAAAAAAACCCAGCTGCATAGATATAAAATTGGTGACACCTGGCGTTCTAGCAGTACATGTTGAAAGGATCTGGGGGCCGTGGTGGAGCATGACTTTAACATGAGTCCGCAGTGTGATGCAGCAGCAATAAACCCTAATGTTATTCTAGGGGGCATCAACATAAGTCTAGGGTCCAGATCAAGGGAAGTCATAGTCCCGCTCTGTTCTGCCTTGGTCAGACCACACCTGGAATACTGTGTCCAATTCTGGGCACCACAATTTAAGAAGGATGTTGACAAGCTGGAAGGTGTGCAGAGGAGGGTGACTGAGGTGATCAAGGATATGGAAACCAAGCCTGATGAGGAACGGTTGAAGGAGCTGGGAATGTTTAGCCTGGAAAAGAGGAGATATGAGAGCCATCTTCAAGTATCTACAGGGCTGCCACATGGAAGATGGAGCAAGCTTGTTTCCTCCTGGTCTGGAGGGGAGGACTCGAACCCGTGGCTTCAAGTTACATGGAAGAAGATTCCAGGAAGATGGAGGTTTATGCTTTGCAGGTTGTACTAAATGAGACATGTAAAGGTAAAGATAAAGGGACCCCTGACCATTAGGTCCAGTCGTGACCGACTCTGGGGTTGCGGCGCTCATCTCGCTTTATTGGCCGAGGGAGCCGGCGTACAGCTTCCGGGTCATGTGGCCAGCAGGACTAAGCCGCTTCTGGCGAACCAGAGCAGCGCATGGAAACGCCGTTTACCTTCCCGCCAGAGCGGTACCTATTGATCTACTTGCACTTTGACGTGCTTTCGAACTGCTAGGTTGGCAGGAGCAGGGACCGAGCAACGGGAGCTCACCCCGTTGTGGGGATTTGAACCGCCGACCTTCTGATCGGCAAGCCCTAGGCTCTGTGATTTAACCCACGGCGCCACCCGCCTTGTACTAGAGACCAATTGGGGTCTCTCCTAAGCCGAGAGAGAGAGAGAGAAAGATCAATCAGCCTCAGTGTGGTATAGACAGCCCAATGGCTTGACTCTGTACCCATGGAAGCAGGCAGTCTACTTTGTTTGTTTGCAATGATAAAACAGACTATAGTTTCTCTTGCAAACAAAAAAAAGTACGTTTTTTCATCACAACAACCTTGTGAGCTAGGCTTCATTCTGCAGGGTGGTCGCTTTTCCCAAACTGAGAATTTTCCGGACATTTCCCCAAGCCGTTAATTCTTCCAGCGGAGGGGGGAGGAATCAATGTCATAATTAACAAAGAATGGGTTCCAACTGCACAATCATACACAAAGCCTTTTATCCCCCTCCCCGTAGCTTTTAGCTTTGTTTACAAAATGCAAGTAAAGTAAACATGCTAAATTAGATGGCTCTCTAGGGCATCAGAAAATGTCTAGGTGCAAGTTGAATTTTTTCCGACGCTAATTGCCCAGACAGAAAACTAATTCAGCTTTTTTAGGGGGAAGAGAAGCCATATTACAGGGCAGATTAGACTCCTTTGAGAGCCGGGCTCAGCCAAGATCACCTAGCGAATGGATCTTCATACCTACATGAAGATTTGAACCCAGGCCCTCGCCTACTGCCCTAGCCACTGTCTGAGACAGTGCATAGTAATCCAAGTACCGTATTTTTTGCTCTATAAGACTCACTTTTTCCCTCCTAAAAAGTAAGGGGAAATGTGTGTGCGTCTTATGGAGCGAATGCAGGCTGCACAGCTATCCCAGAAGCCAGAACAGCAAGAGGGATTGCTGCTTTCTCTGCGCAGCGATCCCTCTTGCTGTTCTGGCTTCTGAGATTCAGAATATATTTTTTTCTTGTTTTCCTCCTCCAAAAACTAGGTGCGTCTTGTGGTCTGGCGCGTCTTATAGAGCGAAAAATACGGTGAATCCAAGATCGCTCAAGTAAGTGAGCCAAAGCCTATGCTAAAGGAAGGTGAAAGGATGGGATCGCCTTCGCCAAGACGATGGTCACGTGGTCCCCCAAAAAGCTGGTTATATTGTTTATGTATTGCTGCCACTGCAGCCAGAATTCTGTATGCGCAGAAATGGGAAGTAGTTGCAACGAAAGAGGACTTTAAAATGATTGGACTACAGTGGTACCTCGGAAGTCAAACGGCAGTGGCGTAGCGTGGGGGGTGCAGGGGGGGCCGGCCGCACCGGGCGCAACATCTGGGGTTAGGGCAAATCCACAGGTTAGGGGGCGCAAATCCATGGGTTAGGGGGCGCAAATCCATGGGTTAGGGGGCGCAAATTACTTGCCTTGCCCCGGGTGCTGACAACCCACGCTACGCCACTGTCAAACGGAATCCGTTCCAGAAGTCTGTTTGACTTCCAAAATGTTCGGAAACCAAGGCGTGGCTTCCGATTGGCTGCAGGAGGCAGAGCTGGCGATGAGCCCAACCAGAAGGCAACGGAGGAAGGTGAACGATACTAGAAGACATCTGAAGGCAGCCCTGTTTAGGGAAGCTTTTAATGTTTGATGGATTACTGCATTTAAATATTTTGTTGGAAGGCGCCCAGAGCGGCTGGGGAAGCCCAGCCAGATGGGCGGGGGGTATAAATTGTTGTTGTTGTTGCTGTTGTTGTTGTTGTGTCATGTTATTATTTTATCAGGCTGCATGCTCATGGAACAGATCATCCGGAAGCGATCTAAGATTCTAGTCCAGGGGTCAGCAAACCTTTTCAGTCCACTGTCCCTCAGATCTTGTGGGGGGCCAGACTATATTTTTTTTGGAGGGGGGGGGGAATGAACGAATTCCTATGCCCCATAAATAACCCAGAGATGCATTTTAAATAAAAGGACACATTCTACTCATGTGAAAACACGCTGATTCCCGGATCGTCCACAGGACGGATTTAGAAGGCGATTGGGCCGGATCCGGCCCCCGGGCCTTAGTTTGCCTACCTATGTTCCAGTCCTCATGAGTGATTCAGAAGCTGTCTTAGACGGAGTCAGATTGTTGGTCCTCGTGGCTGCGTTCTAGAGATGCTGTGATGAAAATCTATACCTCCTGAGTCTCTCTCTCTCTCTCTCTCTCTCTCTCTCTCTCTCTCTCTCTCTCTCTCTCTCACACACACACACACACACACACACACAGGGCTATGCCCCTCTCCCAGTCTGATCCGCAATGGCACTCCACGCATGGGAGCCTCGTCATGTGCGGATCTCCCCACTCTGTCACCCTGGACATGTGGGGCGGTTGGCGGGCAGAGCAGGAGCGCAGGAATGTCCTCGGAGCTCCTTTCTCCCCCCACAAACTTTTGCTCCTGATGTGCAACCCATTTCAACGCCCCTCATCAGAAGCAGGGAACCCCCCCATCCTCATCAAACCCCCAACCTCTCCTCCCTACCTCCACAACTCACCAAGAACGCGCCCCCGGAAACAAAACTAGTCGAGGTCGCAAACCATAGAAGGCAACGCCTCGGTCCTCCCCAATAAAATATTTGAGGGTGCTGGGGGGTCCCCAAAGTTAACGGGGATTGCCGTTCCAATGGTGCGCGTGCACCGTATCATGCAGGGCGGGGCTTAACTGCCCCCCGGAAAAAAAATATTTTATTCAAGTTGCAAACAGAACAGTTCCCGCATATACAACTCCCAGGGAACCGGGGGGAGGTGTCACCCATTTTGCAAACCTCTCCCAGCAGCACCGGGGGGGGGTAGGCATGCCAGAGGCTCTCGGAGCAACATGTGAGAAAGCTTAACCCACCCCCCCTCCTAAAAATTAGCAGGGGGAGGAAGCGTGAAGAGGAACAAAGAGACCCTTCTGGATCTGCCTTGCCCAGCTATGCGCTGCGTTTGTCTGCTCCAGGGCTCGGGGGGGGGGCGCGATCCGGGGCCACCACGGGGAATGGGGGTGTGGGCGCGGCACCCCCAGAGCAATCTAAGGTAGGCAGGGCATGCAGCAACTCCACGCAAGCGAGCAACGCAACCACACACACACGCCGGCACAAGAGGTCCCCGCGCAATGAATGGGAGCTGTGCGCCAGGGCGCACGACGCGCATCCAGATGGACTTGCACGGGGGAAGCGGTTGCGTCCCGCCACATCCCCATTCGAAATCTCAGCTTAGGTCTCCGCGATCACGCCCGGAAGAGAGAGAACCGAATCTAACCTCCTTGTCAATGGTGCGGGGAGGGAGAGGACGGGAGAGAGGGAGGCTGGCTTTTAAAAAAAATAAAATTAAATTTTTTTTGAAACCAGACAGACTCACGCCTGCGATCCGGGACAAGAAGACGGAAAATCCCGCCGCGAGCGCGAGGTTTCTTTTTTTGGTGTCCGTGGGAAACTCTTTCGAAGCCCCCTTAGAAAGTTTTGAGTAGTTGGGGGGGGTGAGAGAATGGGGCTTTCTTGTCATTCCCAAAAGCACCCCCAACTCATCCCCCAAAAGTAGAGAGAACGGGGGTGGGGGCACTTGGGTTGCTAGCCGTCTCCTGGGTGGGATCGGGGAAGAAAGACTATGGGCTAAGGAATGTCAGAAGTGAACAAAGAAAACGGGGGGGGGGCAGAGAGAAGGGAGAGGGGCGACAAAGGATGGCGTAGCAAAGAGCTGCGAACGAAACCCACCCGTCCCATTTGCAAAAGTCACTGGAATAGTTTCCTGGCGGGTGTCCGTCCCGTCTCCCCTCCGCCGCCAACAACCCCCCCTAACCCAAAACCATTGCAATAATCTGGAGCGATGTTTTAAACAAAAAGAATAGATAGAAGTTTTACAGATACCTTCTTGGTCCTAGAATTCCAAAGATGAGCCGTGGATTTCTTTGTTTAAGTTCTGAGCCGGGCAGGAGGGGGGGGGAGAGAAGGGGGGGGAAATCGCAGCCTTTTTGGAGAAAAGGAGGAGAGAGACCTCCAAATCGGGCAGGGGGAGGTCCTTGCAGCTTGAGAAGGGGTGCTGGGTGGGGAGGAGGGAGAAGAGGAGGGGGCAGAGAGGGAGGAAGGCTGCATTCTTCAGCCAAAAGTTTTTAACTTCAAGGCTTGGCTGAAGGCAGTCGGGGGGCATAAGGTGGAGGGGTTTAGCCAGTGGTGGTGGGCTTTCAAAAGCAGGGACTGCCATCTCCCTAATGTCTCCTTGGCCCCCTGGTTCTGTTGGGCCTGGAGACCCCGGACAGACGCCTGCCTCCTTCCCTCCTTCACCCCCCCCCAATTTCCCCTCCCCATGACAGCTCCTCGACTCCCAGGCGTGAAAGGCTGTGGGTGGCAGAGGGGGGAAATTAATAACACATCCCTCGACTTCAAAGGGCCTTGCAGTGGGAAGAAGGAGAGAGCAATGAATGAAAGACGAGAGAAAGCCAATTTGGCCTGTCTATTGTTCCCCTTAAATGGGTACAGGGAAAGTCTGGTGGGCGGTGGCGAAACCCCGCCGCCTGCCTGCGCTCCCGAGGCCGGAGAGGAGGTTTTTCTAAGTAGTTGGGAACTTTTCGTGGGCGCCAGCCTCAGGGTTCCACAACGTTCTTCATCAGGCGAAAGCGTTTTGTGAAACCGGGAAGTTTGTGCACTCTGCCGCCGACCAACATAAAAAAGGTAAAGGGACCCCTGACCATTAGGTCCAATCGTGACCGACTCTGGGGTTGCAGCGCTCATCTCGCTTTATTGACCAAGGGAGCCGGCGTACAGCTTCCGGGTCATGTGGCCAGCATGACTAAGCCGCTTCTGGCGAACCAGAGCAGCGCATGGAAACGCCGTTTACCTTCCCGAAGGAGCGGTACCTATTTATCTACTTGCACTTTGACGTGCTTTCGAACTGCTAGGTTGGCAGGAGCAGGGACCGAGCAACGGGAGCTCACCCCGTCGCGGGGATTTGAACTGCCGACCTTCTGATCGGCAAGCCCTAGGCTCTGTGGTTTAACCCACAGCGCCACCCCCGTCCCTTAAGTTTCCGCACTCAGCTACCGACCTACATAGACTGGCATTAAACGATGCCTGGTGGAACGAGGAGGAGGAGCTCTCCCTATGAGCTATGATTTGTGTTCCCTAAAAACAAAGCAATTTTCTAGTCCGCATGGTTCTGAATCGAAGGGCCTAAATGGGAACAGTATGCTAAGTCGGGTCACTGGTTCCAGGACTGTCTACGAGGGTTGTCTAAGAGGGTTTTCCAAACCTAGGTCTCAGCTGTTTTCAGACCACAGTTCCCAGCGTCCCTGGTCCCTGGTTCTGCTAGCTAGGGATGATGGGACTTGTAGTTGCCAAAAACAACTAGACCCCCAAGTTTGGGAAACCCTTGTCTACGACAACTGCTGTAGGATTGAGTGTTAGAGGCTGTGGGGAACCCCGAACTTTAGCTGTCCAAAGTCTGCTGTGGTTTGTATGCAGTTGCCGGCATTGCCAGTGGCATAGCGTGGGTTGCCTGTGCCCAGGAGCCAGATTTGGCTGAGATTCCGCCATTCTGGGGGGGGTTGGACTAGAGAACTCTTGGATGCCCCTTTCACCTCCGCGATTCTATGACAGGAGGGAAATCTGATACAATTTGCATCCCATACAGGACGCGGGTGGTGCTGGGACGCGGGTGGCGCTGTGGGTTAAACCACAGAGCCTAGGACTTGCCGATCAGAAGGTTGGCAGTTCAAATCCCCGCGACGGGGTGAGCTCCCATTGCTCGGTCCCTGCTCCTGCCGACCTAGCAGTTCGAAAGCACGTCAAAAGCGCAAGTAGATAAATAGGTACCACTCCAGCGGGAAGGTAAACGGTGTTTCCGTGCGCTGCTCTGGTTCACCAGAAGCGGCTTAGTCCTGCTGGCCACATGACCCGGAAGCTGTACGCCGGCTCCCTCGGCCAATAAAAAGAGATGAGCGCCGCAACCCCAGAGTCGGCCACGACTGGACCTAATGGTCAGGGGTCCCTTTACCTTTTTACAGTTTGCTTACATTTTCTAAAACCCCATGCGATCAAAAATTCAGCCATGGTTTTTTCCCTAATTCCGCCTTTCCCGAATTTTGCAATTCAGGTCTCAAAGCCAAGCCGTGGGTCCCTAATTTGCAGAAAGATGTGGGAATGCCGAGGCCAGAGTCCCTGAGAGAAATCCTGAAATGGACACGTTTGCCTGAACATGTAGATGGCAGAATGGTACGATTGGCTGCTCTGCCACATGGGGAGAAAGAGTTGGGTTTTGGGGGGGAAGCTTGGAGCAAAGGAAAAGTTTGTGTTCAGGCTCCTTCTCTCTTTGCTAGACGCAGTTGGGCAGATGGAAGGCAGGCTCCTGCGTGCTCTCAGCCGCAGCCCCAAATCCCCTGCTTCCTGAAAGAATCAGGAATTAAGACTCATTTCCCTCGACGCAAACAGCATTGCAAGGAGGTAGTCCTGGGTGCAACAAGCCTCAAATAAAGACCTTCTTTTTGGGGGGAGCAGGTAGGGGCGAAGCAGAACGAGTTGCACAGAGAAAGCCACGGGTGCACTCTGGGGAGCCGACAGACAGGGATGGAGCACGCCGTACGTCTAAAGCACATCACTTCCCACCAAATAACACTGGGAACTGTAGTTCGCCCCCTCACCGAGCTACAATTCCCAGCACCTTTAACAAACTGCTGGACCTAACGGTCAGGGGTAAAGGTAAAGGTAAAGGGACCCCTGACTGTTAGGTTCAGTCGTGGCCGACGCTGGGGTTGCGGTGCTCATCTCACTTTATTGGCCAAGGGAGCCGGCCTACAGCTTCCGGGTCGTGTGGCCAGCAGGACTAAGCCGCTTCTGGCAAACCAGAGCAGCGCATGGAAACGCCGTTTACCTTCCCGCTGGAGTGGTACCTATTTATCTACTTGCACTTGACGTGCTTTTGAACTGCTAGGTTGGCAGGAGCAGGGACCGAGCAACGGGAGCTTACCCCGTTGCAGGGATTCGAACCGCCGACCTTCTGATCGGCAAGTCCTAGGCTCTCTGGTTTAACCCACAGCGCCACCCGCGTCAGGGGTGCCTTTACCTTTATAGTGCTTCACATGTTCAATGCAGATGCAGACCTTAGATCAGCGGCAAGCCTTGGTGTCCCAAATTTCAGTGGCACCCTCTGCGACTTTCCCTCTCCTGTGTGCGTCTGTTTAACTCAATCAACATTGCAACACGGCCGGTAATTTTATTACCCCATCCCTCCGTCGTGGGACCCCCCAGGGCAGTAAACACGTGGTTCCCAGGAGGTCTCCCATCCAGGAACCAACCCATCTGGGACCTGCTTAGGCGGTGCCTTCAGACCGGATCCTGCGACCAGGATCCTAACAGGCCCTGAGTGTTGCACAATACAGGGGGGGACAGGACTATGAACATCTCAGCTGCAAAATCTCCCCCTTCTCCTCCTCCTCCTCCTCTCCCCCTGGCCTCTTCCATCAAGCACCATCAATCCAGGCTGTTCCACATTAATCTAGCATGAGGTCACTGCTTGGAGAGTCGGAGGGAGCCTGTCTGCACAGCCTGTCGCTTTCGGGGTCTTTTGCTTTTCCTGTTGGACACAAGGAGAGACTTTGCCTGGTGCTCGCAGGAAGTCGGATTCCACTGAGCTGGAGAGGGAGCGGCAACATTCGGTCGGGATCCTGTCTGCCGCCCCGTGAAGCAGGGATGGGTCTAAGTTCACATAGGTCCCGCCGGCAATTCTGCCCACGGATCTTCCAAGATGTTGCGAGCCAGAAGATGAGGGCCATTGGCATCTGTGCAAATGCAGTGGTACCTCGGGTTAAGTACTTAATTCATTCCGGAGGTCCGTTCTTAACCTGAAACTGTCCTTAGCCTGAAGCACCACTTTAGCTAATGGGGCCTCCTGCTGCCGCCGCACTGCAATTTCTGTTCTCATCCTGAAGCAAAACTCTTAACCCAAGGTACTATTTCTGGGTTAGTAGAGTCTGTAACCTGAAGCGTATGTAAGCTGAAGCGTCTGTAACCTGAAGCATCTGTAACCCGAGGTACCACTGTAGTGCCCATTTCTGTGGCCTATGTAACATGCATAGGACCACTGTAGAGTTTCAAACTTAAATGCCGCAACAAGTTACAGAACGAGAAAAGGCACTATACATAGCTCAGTGGGGGGCTGGACTAAATAATAATAATAATAATAATAATAATAATAATAATAATAATAATTCATTGTTTATACCCTACCCATCTGCCTGGGTTTCCCCAGCCACTCTAGGCGGCTCCCAACAGAATATTAAAAACACGATAAAACATCAAACATTAAATACTTCCCTAAACAGGGTTGCCTTCAGATGTCATCTAAAAGTCAGATACGGTGGCACCTTGGTTCTCGAACTTAATCCGTTCCGAGAGAGTGTTCGACTCCCAAAATGGTTCAAAAACCAAGGCGTGGCTTTCAATTGGCTGCAGGAGCGTCGGATGTTCGGCTTCCAAAAGACGTTCGCAAACCGGAGCACTTACTTCCAGGTTTGCGGCGTTTGGGAGCCAGTTTCTTCGGAAGCCATGCTGTTGGAGTACCAAGGTACCATTGTCGTTGTTTATTCCCTTGACATCTGATGGG